GAGACGCAGGGGTTAAAGTTCAGCGTCCCGATCGAGCGACTTCTGATGACCTGCCTTCAACAATGACGTGTCTGCCGCCATGTCGAGGGCATAGGAGCGCTCATTATTAACCCATAGTCTCTTCGAGCCAAGGCCATGAGATGACGTTGAGATCAGAGATCTCGAGCATCTCATTTCGAATGTAAAATAAATAAATAAATATTTATTTATTTATTTATTTTCCAAACCAATTCCGATGGTTTTTAAACCTATTGATAATTCAATTACCCAACGAGTGCTTTCTCAGAAATTACTTTAAGCCGTGCGCTATAGTGAAAACTGCTCCAATTAAAATCAGTGCGCTTCAGTCTCATTCTTCTCTGGCCCGAGGGCCTCAAAGGGTTGCTCCTCGTGCCCATCTAATTGGTATCGTCAGGAATTCCTCAAGTATTGACCCAGCGGAGCCTGAGGGGTCTTTGTTCGCACAGACAGGCCTCCTACTGCCCATCTCCGTGGAGCTTGTAGAGTTGATGACCTCTGCACTAACATCACACCATATTGCTTCCAGCTTAACTATTTTTTAAGTGATACATTTATTAATGCTGACGGAGATTAAACGAAACAACCGGATTTAGAGTTAAGATTCTTAAAAATAAAGGTTCTTTATTTGGAATTGACGGTTCCATGAAGAACCTGTAACACTCCATTCCACAGAATGTTCTTTATTTTTAGAATGTTTTTCACATATTATGGAAAAAATGGTTCTTTTAACAACTCTTGACTTAAAGGATCGTTGGGGAACCGAAAATGGTTCTTATATGGCATTGATGCAAAAACATTTTTTTAAGAGTGATAAGCTTTTTGTGGGTTATGACAAATAGGCTGGCACTCTATAAAATTCTGGGATATTTTAACCCAATTTTGGGTCAAATATGGACAAACCCAGCTGTTGGTTTTTTTTTTTTAATCCAACAATTGAGTGTATCCATATTTGACCCAAAATTGGGTTAAAACAACAAACGCACTTCATTTGCGTGTAATAGCCTACACACGCACCCCACACCACTAAATACCCTAAATATGCGTAAAAAGTTTAGTGTGATTTAGTGTGATCGGGTTGGAAAATGATACTCTTTCCCCAAAAGGACTAAATTTGTGAATTGTTATTTGGTAACTATTTTGTATAGTTTTCTGTAAATTATTATTTTATATATTTCGTATATTGGATGATTGAGTTGATTATTCAGGTCAGGTGTGATGGATCATGATGATAAACAGTACCTCTCTGTGTTCTTGTTGTTTGTAGCTATATAAAACATTTTTAAAAAAAATCCAGATTTTTGAGAGCAGCGTTGGCAGTGTGCCAATTTTGACTTATTTTTTATTAGTGATTAGTCACTAACACGATGTCAGAAAGTTCCCAGTTAGCATTTCTCTGTGCTCCCCAAAGCGTCCTATAGAGGGCAGCACTGACTTCTTTCCAGCTGCTGTGAAATCACAGGATCTGATCAGAAGCTCTTCTTATCAGTGCTGTCTGTCTGCGCAATCATTCTAGAATCTGAAGTCGCCTCTGAGTTTCATATCAATAAGATTTTTTAGGTGCACGGCAAATTTACCATTTGAAGAGATGTTCGGAGTTGCTCTCTGCCTACTTTTACTGTGAAGTAAAGGAATCGTGCTTGATTTATTAAATGCATAAGCATTGCAACTAATTCAAATAGAATAAGTGAGTTGCCCAAGGCCTGTCATTACATATTCCATGTCACTATTATTTAATAAAAATGTCTGAAACCGATACCTTTCTTTAAGGCGAACATTTTTAATGGTTGCATCGAACTAATTGGGTCTGTAAACCCCCTTGGGTAGCATTAGACGCGTGTAATAAAGTGCGTATTATGCAACATTATCGCGTATAAATTGCACGAAAAATAGAATTCGTGATATAGATGCGCACTTTCATGAGCTCGGGCGGCAACTGCGCGTTTGAGCGCGACTGCAGCACCATGGAGAGCGGCGGCGCGCATGTTATTATCACATTCACTTCATTTCTCTGTGTGCACCATGTGTTAGTTGCTAGTTCGGTCTTCCACAACAACTAAAACTTTCATTGTCGCCCAATTATCACAAGCATGTGGCTAACCTCTGATAAAGAGTTTTTGTCATGATAATTCAGCCGTGGCTATAAAGCATTACGCGACTGTTCGATTTGAGCATCCAAATGTCAGTCTGTTTGATCAGTGTCTGTGTCCCCAACATGCAGCCCATATGAAACCAGCCACACATTCAAAGATCAAATGAACCGAGCCATTCCTGTGTGCAGAAGACCCCCATCAGCAAGCAACATCTACTGAAGCGTCAGAAGCTGGATGGGTGGGATCGCGCTTTAGCTATTTGGGCAACAGGCTCAGTGTCTAGGGGTATTCAGCTTTGCTTTTTGAAGTTAAGAGATGAGAGCGTTCTGTCTGGAGGAAACGTCGTCATGCGAAACAAAGGCGGGGCAAGCAAGAGTTATGGCAAGGGAACTTTTTGTTTGTTTGGCATAATGATTTATATAAACAAATCAACAACAGGGAAGACCTGACATTCACGTCCCTGTGTAACTAATGAAGTTCTGGACATTTTACCACTCACTCAACATCCAAAGACAAATGGACACTTTTTCTATCAAAGTTATTTCATTTCATTGTAGTTCGTTCCTATTGTTACCGTGTATCAAATTGTAAAAAAACAAAAACAAAAAAAAACCCTTGCATTTGGACATTTTGGACACACCAAAGATGCTACATACAAAATATGTGCAAACAAATTATTTTGAGCAATAAAAATGCTGGGTTGACAAATGTTGGGTTAAACTGAGATTTATTGCATTCCAGTGAGAAATCTACTAATTTGAGCTCTTCTTTGGATGTGGGATTTGAAGAAAAAGCATAAGTTGTCCAACAAATTCATACACTAAAAAAAAAAAATGCTGGGTTTTCAACCCAAATTTGGGTCAAATATGGACCAACCCAAATGTTGGGTTAAAATTTTTAAATGACATTTTTAAATCAACATTTGGGTTTGTCCATATTTGACCCAAATTTGGGTTAAAACAACCCAGCATTGTTTACTTTATTTTCTTAGTGACTTTGCAAAAAAAAAAAAAAAAATGGGGAATTACCTCGAACCAACTTTTGTAAGTTTTTTTTTTTGAGGATATATAGAGAATAACCGCACTCTAGTAAAGTTTGGGTTGTTTTAACCCAATTTTGGGTCAAATATGGACAAACCCAGCCGTTGGGTTACATTTTTAAATTACATTTTTAACCCAATGTTTGAATTTGTCCATATTTGACCCAAAATTGGGTTAAAACAACCCAGCATTTTTAAGAGGTGTTCGACAACTTTACAAACAAACGTATTCATTTTGAACTCTAAATGTATTGTTTTACCTCTTGAAACTTTGCTTTTCTTCATAATAAATGTTGTATATATCTTATGATGCCACGCGAAGAGACGTTTTAAAGTTATAGGCCAACTTTATCAATTTTATCAAAATAATTTTGGGTGTCACAGAGTTAGGGTTACAAAGACAGTCAATTTGCCTAACTAACAGGCAAATGTCTTTGTAAACGAGGAACATGTAACCAACACAAGTCCTTCTCCTATAAAGGGATGTGTATTGTGTAATTAAACCTGCTCCAATAGTACACAAGTATTCATTCATTCAGGAGTCTGAGTAGTCAGTGATAGTGATTCTGGGCAGAATAATTTCCACGCACTGCTCTTACGAAAGACTCTATCAATAACGCAAATTACAATCATTTGAGCTTTCAAGTAGATGTCTTACTTTAATGTTGATATGTTTGCACCATCCCCCACGGTCTTTCCGTTTTACGTCGCATCCTCTACACTAGCAGCAGGGAGCGCGCATTCCCCGGGGCCGCGGAGAAAGCTTGACTCACAGTGTGATGTTTCCAGCGGTTTACATGTTCTCCCCCACAATGCTATGACGCACAACACTCACAACTAGACACTCGTAAGAGGTCAGCAACTGAATTGTCGGGCTAAATTATCTAGCAGTCGCTGTCAGTGGGATGTCCAAAGGCTGCATTAAACTTATGTCTTCACATCAACGTTATATTGCGAGTCATATCATGTTTTCCTTTTGTTCTTTCGGAGAACATTACCACTTTAAACAAGAAATTTGCAATTCGTTCGAATTCGAATGTTTTTTTTTTCCTGTTCTTGTTCATTTATAGAACTCGTCTCCTGTCTGACACTGTTAATATTGTGATTTCCGATACATCCTCCCTACATAAATTATTTCATCTAGCCTATTTGTGGCTAATAATAAAGGAAGCTTTCAAAACCAACGAATTGTTTCTTTTTTTTCGCAAACTATAACCTAATTTTACGTATTTTATATGCAAGGCTTAATTTTCAAAGTATTTTACAGTAAAACTATCGCGCTTTCCACCTTGCGCCACACCATAGCACGAATGACTTCGGACATTTGAGAGTGATAAAGACATTATTCCCATAGGCGACGACATTACATCGTCAAACTCAACGAATGCCGTTCGGTTATGACGTCTGGCTCTCTCTCACTCGCACGCGCGCACACACGCGCACTGTAGTCTCACTGCCCACGGCATGGACGCGCGCACATTATAAGGAATCAGTGCGCTCGGAGTGGCGCAGAAGGTTACTTCGTCATGCACTAGGTAGTGTGTGATGTAATTTCGCTCCAGATATAAATATCGTCGGCAAGGGAAAAGTGGCATGGCTGAGCGGGGCTAGAATTCACGGTCAACAACTTTTGTGTGAAAGCAAAACAGCTTGAACACCAGTCTGAAGTGTAGTGTCTTGAGAGGAAACCCACTGAGCGCGACTTCATGCCGCTCACCAGGGTTGACCGTAGCTCTGTCCTTGAGTAAGCTGTTTCGTGCGTCTTTTTTTGGCAAATATACCTAGAGAAAGACGGTAGTTTTTGACGCTAGTCAGACACTCACGTACCGCTCAGAAGTCAGACACTCACGTACCGCTCAGAAGGATGAGTGTCCAATCGGCCCTCTTACCATTACTGGTCTTAGGACTTATGACGAGCTCAGTGCGCTGCGCTCCGGTGCCCGGTGGGCAGAGCGGCCCCGTGGAGCGGCGCTGGGAGACTCTCTACTCGCGCTCTCTGGCCCGAATCCCCGGGGAAAAGAGAGATACCAGCCGGGACAGTGATTATCTCACGGGCATTAAAAGACTGCGACGTCTCTACTGCAATGTTGGCATTGGGTTTCATCTCCAAGTATTACCGGATGGTAGAATTACCGGCGTGCACAACGAAAACCGCTACAGTAAGTTTGGTCTGTTATTTGATCGCATTTGCATGTTGTATAGGCTGTTGGACTGAGATCAAGAAAATTATGTATCCTACATAATCCTGAAAAAAATATTTACGCTCAATGGCTGTTATTTAGTTAAAATAAAATAGTAAGAGAACGTTACACGAATTCAATGAACAACATCAACAAAGCCTGTTGTAGCGCATGTCCAGATCCAAGGCAGGTGAGGTGAGTGCACGAGCATCTGGCATCCTGCATTACGCACGCAACAGGTCTCTGTAACCAGGAACAGGAACCGGGCCAAAATCCCCAAGCCTAAACTTAGTAGCGAGAAAAACTCATCCTTTTCGGTATATCACTCCTTAAAAATAGAGGTTATCTAATAGTTTATTCTCATCTTCTATGGTTCTTTAAATATTCATTACGGATTTTTTTGGTTACACTTACTTTGTTACGTTAAAGCACTGAGTATTATGCAATTATGCACAATTTATAGTAACGTGTAACGATGACACTGTAAAACAACAGTTTTACCCCCTTTCAGATCAGCGAATATCAATCCAGTGCAGATGAGTTTCTGGTGAACTATTAAAATATTCTTTTATGGGCGTTAAAAATGTTAAAATGAAATATAACAAGAGTTATACTACACATCTGTCACTTCATGGACGCGCGTTATAAGATTCTGAAGTCAACGAAAGTACTTGTCTTGTTTGACAACATTCATCAGTCATGGTCTTTATTTTAAGTATTAAACGAGACATTTTAATACTAATTTTAAATGTTTACTCTTACAAAGTGGCCAAAAACACATGACACATTTTTAAGCGCTTCAATCAGATTAAAAAGTTTCACGAAAGTAGCTACTCATTTGGAAAAGACGACGTGGCAAATAAAGCAGAAGTGGTTTAAAGATAAATCTAGAGAATGCGATATTACATTTGGGAAATCTGAAGAGGCGGAAAGTGTCATTTCCTTCACAAAGGATGCTCTAAATGTAAACACGAACAATTTTTAGAAAGGCAGTCATCGTTGGGAGTTGCCAGACAGGGCTAAAGATATAAGCCAAACAAGGTCATTTATTTTCTTTGTTGTGTGTTTCAGGTCTTCTTGAGATATCTCCGGTGGAGAGGGGAGTTGTGACACTGTTTGGCGTCCGGAGCGGGCTATTCGTGGCCATGAACAGCAAAGGGAAGCTTTACGGATCTGTGAGTATGAAATGATTTACAACAGGTTTCCGTCCGCGAATGTTCTTATCAGAGCTCGATGACATATCACCCTGTACTTGAGATGTATCCCCTCACCACCAACAGCCCACAGTCTCCGACAGCGGGACATTGTTGGAGTCAGTTGTGGCGAGCTTCCAGTGCCTATGGCGTTTTCATTGTGGGACGGACAAACCCAGGAACGGGAGCGCAGTAGATCATTCGGACTACGCATTCCATTCTTAGCATTGCCAGCCAACACATGCACCTACTGTCCTTCCCAGAGTAAAGATGAACTGGGAAAAGAGGACCACCCAAACACCGTGCCTCTCCGATTTGTGCACGCATAGACTCACCCTGAAAACACCTAAAACTTGTCTAAGCCCCAAAACCCTCATGAAAGTGCGTATCTATACCACGAATGTCATTTCTCGTGGCATTTTTACGCCAAAAATAGTTTTTGCGTGCATATGCTACGCACTGAAAACCCCTTGGGTAGGTTTAGGGGGGAGGGGAGTGGGGAGTTCGTGCGTATTATACACGCCATAAAGTGCGTATATGCACGCGAAAAACACGCACCATATAGGCTACACGCAAAACTATTTTTTGGCGTATATAAATGGCACGAGAAATGACATTCGTGCGATACATACGAACTTTCATAAGATCGGGCTCCCAAAACCGATGATTTAACCTAAAAATTTGTTGTTTATTTTTTTACTTCATTGAAACTTGGTAAAAGGTTTGGCACTTGCTAATGTCTCGTTTTCACTGTACGGTAGGCTACAGTTCGGTATGGTATACGCAATTAGGCTATTTGCGTTTCCACTGTCAAAAGTTGTGAATGGTACCAAAAAGCCAAACTGTACCTGAACGCACTGCAAAAAAACAAGAACACACTCATCGACACGATTTGAAAGGGTTAAATAGTCCTGAAAAAAAAAAATCACTTGTATTGTAAGCATTATAAATGAATGCGAGACGATTTTTATCTATTTTAAAATTTAAACAAATTCTTACTGAAAGCAATTTTTTAAAGATATCAACCTCAAATTTGTAACACGGCTTGTTTGGACTCATAATTTCGATTTCTCACATTTGAGTAGTCTAGGCTATAAAAATTTTTTTGGAAAATACATATTTCATATAAAAATGTATATTTTTATGCCTTTTTTACATAACAATAAACGCATTCAAGATTTGAGACGAAGATTTGAACTTTCAGGTATTCTCAAAACGGGAATAAATGGATTATACTGCATAACTATAATTTAGTAGGCCTACCATAAAATAACCTAAAATGACAAATTATTGAATAAAATAAACTAAAATAGTAAAATCTTTTAATTTGAAAAAAAAAATCGCTATTTTTTGTCCACGACCAGCTACCAGAGGGTTAAAAGTCTAATTCCTCGGTTGTACCTCGCAAAACATCTCGAAGAAAGAGCTAATCTGTCTCTATGTTTAAGATATGTCAAATATTTGTGTTTGATGCGCTGTTACGTCACTATTGTTTAATATGATAATATACGGTCTATTGAAATGTCACTGAAAATAATAATTACTATTGTCACTTTCAGGGGCAGTTCAAAGATGAATGCAAGTTCAGAGAAAACCTCCTTGCGAATAACTACAATGCGTACGAATCGCTGGCACATCCCGGGATGTACATCGCTCTAAGTAAGACTGGCAAAACAAAAAAAGGAAATCGAGTATCAACATCCATGACGATGACACATTTCTTGCCGAGAATTTGAGCTCATCTGGAGGGGCGGAGGAACGACGATGCACTTTCTACAAAAGTTACGTGTGAGGTTAAGTGTATCGTGTCATGTATGTATATATTAGACTATTTATAACTGTCGATTTTATATTTCATCACAACGTCCTCTTTCCGAGGTGGAAGACAACATTTAATTTATTTGTTATTTGTTAATTTATCCTCATTGCTGCTACCACGTGTTCATACAATTGAAATTCCTACAATGTAGCCTACTTCTTCTTCTTTTTTTTTTTTTTTTTTTTTTTTTTTGTTTGTGTTGTTCTAAACTAAAGCGACGGTTTTGGAGAGGTGGCCTAGTCAGGGTGGACGCCATATTTAAAGGGACAGTTGATGTCAATTTACTCACCCTTCTGTTGAACACAAAAGAAGACATTTTAAAGAATGTTAGTAACCGAAAGCCATTTTTTCAAAGTTTTTTTTCCACCTACGATAAAAGTCAATGGCTAACAGAAGTCAATGGCTTGTTTGTGTTCAACAGAACTCAACTTGAGAGTGAGTAAATGATGACATTTACATTTTTAGGGTGAACGATCACTTTAAATATGGCGTTTTATTGGAGTAGTTCACTTTTAATAAAAAAAAAACTTTTGCTGATAATTTACTCACCGCCTTGTCATCCAAGATATCCATGTCATTCTTTCTTCAGTCGAAAAGAAATCAAGGTTTTTGATGAAAACGTTCCAGGATTTTTCTCCATATAATGGACTTCAATGGGAACCAAACGGTTCAAGGTCTAAAAGACAGTTTCAGTGCAAACTGTTCAAAGGGCTTTAAATGATTTCAGACGATGAATAAGAGTCTTATCAAGCGAAACGATCGCTCACTAAAATAAAAATAACAAAGTTTAAGTTTTATAAGCTCAAATGCTCACCTTGCTTTGTTCTGTGATGAGCGTTTGTGACTCTCCTGTTCGAACTCGTTTATCAAAATGAACAAATCTTTTTTCGTGTCATATTCAACGAACGAAATGAACGAGTTGACTGAGCGATCGTTTCGCTAGATAAGACCCTTATTCATCGTCTGGTGTCGTTTAAAGCCCTTTGAAGCTGCACTGAAACTCTCATTTGGACCTTGAACCATTTGGTTCCCAAAGAAGCCCATTATATGGAGAAAATCCTGGAATGTTTTCATCAAAAATATTAATTTCTTTTTGAGTGAAGAAAGAAAGACATGGACATCTTGGATGACACGGGGGTGAGTAAATTATCAGCAAAAGTTTTTTTTAACGGTGAACAACTCCTTTAAGCTGTCTGAGGTCCATTTGTACGTCATTGGAAAGAATATAAGTCTTAGGTCAAGCCTCCAATGGTTAAGGTGTATCAACCCCCATAGTATTAGCACTGGAGCAATTGTCCCAATGTCGGAGCTCTTTTGTGCGGAGCTCGGGTCTAACTGAAGCAGTATCGGCTTACTCTAGCTTACTGAAGTTCTACTCCTTCAAATCTGTTTTTAGCTCTGCCGGGGGGTTGAACTTTGAACTTATCTCCAGTCAATCTTTGTCACATCTCTAAGGCTCTGGATAGAGAGACGTGGCTTCTTTAACATGCATACAAAACTCGAAGGCATTGCGATGCAGATACCTGTGTCGAGAGACACACTTTACAATGCCAAGTTCAAGTCAGTCTTTGCTGTGGTTTAGGGGGGGGCAACCAGTCATGTTAAAGATCAGTATTTTTCTATGATGGTGAAACAGAAAGAAGTAAATTACAGTGTTTGTGTGCGAGTAAACTAAGAGTTAACGTTGAAAAACGTCCACAGTGAGTTACGAGGAGGCATACCGCCCACTTTTTTGTCGTTTTCTACCTCATGCAGTTTCCTATTTAAGCTGAAACCGAATGTTTAGTTGCTCTTCTGCCACTCTGTGAAGTTCTGGCGGCCATTGCGTCCTAGTTGCGCCTTGTCACGTTTGAGCTATCTTTACCCTGTGATTTACTTTTAGAAAGGATAATCATGTTGGAAATATTTGCAGACAGCTGTTAGCCTATACTATATGCTCAAGCAGTAACCCTATATTTTTCTTTCTATATTTTGTAAACATAATATGTTGCAAAACCAAGTTAGTAAAATAAATATGAAGACATGATGCATTCATGCAGGGATAACTCTTAAATCCTTCAACATTAAAAACACATCTTCAAAAAAGCATTCCTTATTGTTATCACAATGGCAGGTGTGTTTAATGTAAAGCTGAACTGAAAATGGATGGATTGTTTGGTAAATTAAAAGGAAGCTAAACTGACCGATCGACCTCAAAAGCATGAACACATTCGCATTGTTTTATTCAATTTTTTTTGTTTGGTGTAATCTCAAAGCCGTGGCATTTCAGTTCTTACGTGTCTAAATGAGCTTCTTAGCATGCCCTGCCTGGATGTGCACATCATTTAGTTTCACTTGATGACTCGAACCTCTTCCCAAATGGACATGATTTGCATCAGTGTGAATGTTGTTTACAATAGACCGAATGGCCACTGAAGGCAAATCGTTCCTCTGACCACCATCGCATTTGTTTAACCAAAAAATACAATATCAACACACACATGCCATTAGTAAAAACAGAACATCCTCTCCTTTCAGGCAAACTGCCGCTCTGCATATGCCATTTCTCTGTCAAATTTCCGTATGGCTTATCCACGAAGCGCCAGTTGCGTTCGCATCCACGGCAGAGCTCTATACTGACGTCTGAGTCCTGTAGTAGTGCGCTCTGATCCTGTTTTACCAATTATTGTCTGTAGTTTTATACAGGTCCTGTTAAATATTGTGATGTATGTGCTGTGCACATGATGATACCCTAACTTAAATGGAAGTTAATAAATATGTAAATCAGTCTGTGGTCTGTGTGTTTTTAATTCACTGTAAAAATGATAATAAGCTGTGACGACAAAGAGTCAAACCAACATTTATTCAGACTCATTATCATAGTTTATTTGCTATGGTTTAGAAAATGGTGATATGGCAAGAACTTAGTTGATATTTCACTGGTTTTGTCCATCCTCACTGTATAAAATAAAACCGCGATTTTTACGGTAAAAAACGGCAGCTGTGGTTGCCTGAACTTTACCGTTAAAAATACGGTAACAACGTTAATGGTTTTACAGACTTAGCTTAAAATTTACAGTAATAAACCGTATTTCATTTTCTGATAAAATCTTGATTTACCAACCTTTTAAAAATTGATGTCTGTTTTGTACCACTGAACTACAATAGTCAAAAATAAAAACGTAATTTTTACGGTAAAAAAACGGCAGCTGTGGTTTCCACTGCCAGAACTTTGCCGTTAAAAATATGGTAGCAACGTTAATGGTTTTACGGACTTAGCTTAAAATTTACAGTAATAAACCGTATTTCATTTTCTGATAAAATGTTCATTTACCAACCTTTTGAAAAATTGATATCTGTTTTGTGCCACTGAACTACAATAGTCATCAGAGCAGTGATGTCAAAAATAAAAACATAATTTTTACGGTAAAAAGCGGCAGCTGTGGTTTTCACTGCCAGAACTTTACCGTTAAAAATTCGGTAGCAACGTTAATGGTTTTAAAGACTTAACTTAAAATTTACAGTAATAAACCGTATTTCATTTTCTGATAAGCTGCACATTCACACAAACATTAAACACCTTCATGGTAACACACATGAAATTAAAAACAATGCAGTAAACATTAATTTAACAACATTAAATGTATCATAAAACCCTAATGTACATAACTAATTGGGGAAAAAAACATGAAAACTATGAGGAACCATAATTATTTCAACAAAAATACATAAAATGTGCAGTGTCACGCTGAGAATTGTGGGAATGTCAATTTACGGGTTTTCACTGTAAATTATACAATGAGTTGTTCTTTTTCACTTTCAAAAACTGTAAATTTAACGGTATTTTACAGTAAAATTATATCACAGTTATTTTGCGAATATAGCACGGAAACTTTCTGTTAACCAATTAACAGTTTTGCATTGTATCATTTAACCGTTAAAATCACGATTGTTTTTTACAGTGAAAAATGAATTATGTTGAATATCTGACAGCTGTTAAATTTAACAACACAATTAGATTTAGGTCAATTTAGGTCAACCAATTACCAAGCATTGCTTAATTTTGTTCAGTCTGTGGTGTAAAAAGACTGAACACAAAACACTTCTGTAAAATGTTCAGCTCAAAGTGTCTGAATCATTTTTGGTCCCAATTTTATTTTTTTAATTTTTTTGGTCACACAAACATTAATAAGTAATAAGCATTAAGTATTACTTTAACAACATAAATGTAACATAAAACCCTATAACTGAGAAGAAAAAAAAACGATGAAAATTGTGAAGAAACAGTTTAAATACATTAAATGTAAAGTGTCACGCAGGGAATTGTGGGAATGTCAATTTACATTTTTTTCACTGTAAATTATACAAAGACTTGTTCTTTATCACTTCCAAAAGCTGTAAATTTAACAGTATTTTACAGTGAAATTACATTAAACGTACCATTATATATATCACAGTTATTTACCGTATATAGTAAGGAAACTTTCTGTTAACCAATTAACAGTTTTTCACTGTAGCATTTTTACAGTCTTTTACTGTAAAAATCACAATCAATTTTTATAGTATTCTGCACCCTCTAGTAAAAAAATGTCAAAAATTATACCAGGTGTCTGAAGAATTTTAGGTTTGTCTGTATGTTCTTACATTGCTTTAACTTACTCGTCAAAACAAGTTTGTCTTTTTTAGGTTATTCAAGAACTCATTTTTTAAGTCAGTTTACTGCAAAATAAGTTGAAATGACTCAATCATCCAAGTTGATTGTACCTAAAAGAATAAGGCAGCAACTTTTTCTTTACAGAGCTCCTACAGAGCAATTGAAGGTTCGATGAAGCCGACAGCTGATACAGGGCACAAAACACGTAAAACTAGAATATCTCCCAACATAACTATAGAAAGGGGCCTTTCCCTGGCCAAGCTAAAAATACGCTCACAGACTTGTGTCACTAGACTATGTGGGCCCGCCTGGAGTGCCGTGCCTGATATTTCTACAAGGACATCGCTGCCAAGACACTCTTCTGCTGGTGTTTAACTTGCCAAGGCCCAGTTTACAGATTGGGTGGTTTTGCGCTCACTCCTGGGAGTGGAAACCTCTCTTTCACTTCTGTGAACGTTTCCAAAGGTTCGGAGGAGGAATCCACTGCAGCCCTTCCAGGCATGCG